TCTCCCAGCTGGGAGGCAGCAGAGCTGTGTCTCGAACCTTGGTCTACACGCTCCTAGCCCAGTGCTCTCTCCACAGGGCACCGAACAAATCAAGGAAGGGCTCCTGGCTGGGCGGTGGTTGGTGCAGCTCAAAGCTGGCCACACCCGACAGGAAGCGGTGCGGGGGACCTGCCAGGGAGCCAAGAGGCAGAAGCCCTTGAGAGCTTCCCAAGGAGGGTAGGAGTCTGGAAGGAGAGAAATGGAAGCCTGTAAAGGCGCCTCCTCCAGAAGGGTTTTTGCCCTTTGCTGGGATCACACGTCAGGTTAGCCTGGCAGGATTCTTCAAGGCCGGGTAGGCCCGTGTTCCACTTTTTGTTTTCTTAGCAGCAGAATTGCTTTAAGTAGAACCCTGGCGTCTGAACAAAGGCAGAGCTGATATAACTGGTCGGATGGAAGAGGCTTGGTGGGGGGTTCTGCAGAACACAGGCTGGATTCCATTTCTTTAACTGAAAGTTGACAAACGATTGCCCACAGGCCAAATCGGACCTGTTTTTATATGGCCCATGAGCTAAGAATGGTTTTTACATTTTTAAAGAGTTATTCAGGGAAAGAAAAAGAAGGCAACTATGTGACAGAGACCACAAATGTCCCCTAAAGCCTAAAACACTGTCCAGCCCTTTACAGAACCTTGCTGACCCCTAATCTCATGCAATCCTTCTTTTACACATGAATAAACTGAGGCCCAGAGAGGGCAAGTGGCTTCCCTAAGGTCACACAGCAAGTTGATGGCAGGGCTGGGACGAGAGCCCAGACTCCCATCTCTTTTCTAAGTGACTTCTGTGTCTTTTGGCTTCATCCAGAGACCAGCGCTTCTCCCATGCCAGCCATCTGTCCCTCTGGGCACCTCCCTGGTGCCTATCTCCCATCCCAGACCTGTGCCCCACCCTTTGCCCCTCCTCCTGCTGCTCTGCCTCCTCACTGAGCTGTCAACATGTGCACAGCTCTCCAAAGTTAGAACCACTTTTACTTCAGCCGTCCTGTCCTCTGAGACCTTGGGCGGAGGCGGCCGACCCAAAGCGAAAGCAAGGGCGAAGTTTTTACTTCAGTTCTGCAGATCAGAGCCTGAGGCCCAGAGACGAGTAGAGGCTCGCAGAGCAGTCGGTGGGGCCAGCCCAGAAGCCAGCTCTGTGCCATGGCTGCCCCCTCCACGCTTGCCAAGTGGCCTCACAGTGTCGTCCCTGCTGAAGGGTGGAGGGGAAAGTTTTCCTGAAAGTGTACACACACGTTCCATGTTCTGGCCTGAGGTAGAGTCATTCTGAGGTCTGAGTGCCAGAGGCCAGGCCCGCAGAGGAGGCCACTGCAGTCTTGGGACCTGGGTCCTGGCATCACCAGGGGAATTGCTAACCCTCTGCGGCCTTAGTTTGCTTCATCTGTAATGGAAGGGGTTTGAACAAGCATCGCCTCTAACGTCCCTCTAGGCTCTGACATTCTGAGGTAGCTGATGGCACAGGATTTGAAGTTGGGAGACTTGGGTTCAAGCCTGTACCTCACCTCTTAGTGACTTGGTGACTGTGGACAAGTCACTTTGACCTCTCTGAGCCTCAGGTCCCACATCTCTAAAATGGGGACACTTAAGATTTCCCCATGAATGTTGAGTGTGTTACAGGAGCTGATACAGCATGAACGTAATTTTTTTTTTAAAAAGCTTATATGACGTGAGCGTCTGCAGTGCCAGACACAGTGTGGTTTTGGAAATACAAAAACTGTAGGCCGGGCGCGGGGGCTCACGCCTGTAAACCCAGCACTCTGGGAGGCCGAGGCGGATGGATCGCTCAAGGTCGGGAGTTCGAGACCAGCCTGAGCAAGAGCGAGACCCTGTCTCTACTAAAAAATAGAAAGAAATTAATCTGGACAACTAAAAATATATAGAGAAATTAGCTGGGCATGGTGGCGCATGCCTGTAGTCCCAGCTACTCGGGAGGCTGAGGCAGAAGGATCACTTGAGCCCAGGAGTTTGAGGTTGCTGTGAGCTAGGGCTGGCGCCACGGCACTCACTCTAGCCCGGGCAACACAGTGAGACTCTGCCTCAAAAAAAAAGAAAAAAAAAACAAAAGGTGATTCTATTCTGGACGTGATCGCCAGCAGGAGAGAGACCTGTAGTGGTGATTTTCACGTGTGTTTTAACAGTCACAGCTTCCGGCAACTCAGCGAGGTGGATCCTTTTCTCTCATGAGAAAACTGAGGCACCAGGTCCTACAGCGGGTGAGAGGTGGGGCCGGGCTCTGAGCCCACGTCCTCTTTGCTCCCACGCCGGCTCTCTTATTGTAACAGCAGCAGCGTGCCAAACAAACATTAGTTTATTTTTCATTCAAATGTGTTTAATTGACTTCTTTTGGCCTCAGTTTCCTCATCTGCAAATAAGGGTAACAGCATTGTCTCCCTCAGGGCTGCTTGAGTATCCGAGGAGGATGAACGTGCCTCCCCTTGGCAGCAGGGCCTCCCCCGCCCCACTCTGGCCCGTGGTAAATGGGGGCAGTTCATGTCATTAGCAAGGGCAGCAGCAGACCCAGCAGGGTTTCTTGACGTGCACTTACCATGTAATCCTCGCAACAGCCCTTTGAGGTAGGCACAGTTATCATCTTCCTTTCAGAGGTGAGGAAATGGAGACACATAAACATGAAGTCACTTGCCCGCGGTTTCACAGCCAGTCTGATCAAGCAGTTACACGGCCCGCAGTCCATCAGGCAGTCTAGCATACCCTGCCCGGCTGGATTTTCAAAACAGTGCTTGAGCCCAGCACGATGGTGTGTGGCCGCAGTCCCAGCTACTCGGGAGGCTGAGGCAGGGGGATCTCTTGAGCCCCGGAGTTCGAGGCTGCAGTGAGCTATGGTGACACCACTGCACTCCATCCTGGGTGACATAGTAAGAGCCTGTCTCTCCAAAAAAAGAAAAACTACAAAAACCACACATACAACAAAAAAAGGCAAAACAATTCTTGATTGGGGTTTAGGGGATGACTCAAATGGTGGCATTCTGAGCATCAGGACATATTTGGCAGGCGATTTCTGGTGGCCCATTCCACGTGCCTGTGTAGGAAAATCACCGTCTTACCTCTAAGTGGAAATGAGCTTGCAGTGCAGAAGAATGGCTGGTGACCAGTGTGGCTGGGAAGGTTGAGGGTGAGCTGTGGGAGGAAGGTGGGAGAGGGATAGAAGATAAGCCGGTGGGGCCTTCTCAGCCCTGGTCGGACCTGGATTTTATTCTAAGCCAATGGGAAGACATGAAGGTTTTTCAGCTGGAGCACAGACTGCAAGGGGTGACAGTCAAAGCAAAGTGGCAGGTGAGGAGGCTCCTGCAGTGATCCAGGTGAGGGTGGACGGGGCTAGGACCAGGATCGCAACAGTGGAACCCGAGAAAAATGGGCAGCCTGGAGAATTTATTTGGTTGTGGAGATGACCAGATTTGCTCCTGGATTGGATGCTGGGTTGGATGCAGGGGAAATGGCAGAATTATGGATGATTCTTGGGCCTTTGGGCTTAGGCACCTGAGTGGGTGGTAGTTCATTAACTGCAATGGAGAAAGACTAGGGGAGGCATGGGTTTACGGAAGACAAGGATTTTGGTTTTGATGTGCTGAGTTCTGACCTACCTTAGCCATCCAGGTACAGATGTTGCAGGACAGGAGCTCACGTGTGAGGGCCATGCCAGAGGCGTCCACTTGGGAGCAGCATGTCTGGGGAGGGATTTAAAATCATGGGGCCAGCTGAGATCACCTGGGGAGGAGTGCAGCCAGAGGAGAGAAGCGTCTGAGAATGGAGCCCGGGGGCCATCAGGGCTTAGAAGCTGGGAAGAGGAGGGGGACCAGTAAAGGAGACCAAGGAGAAGCAGCCAGGTAAGAGGAAAACCAGGAGAATCTGCATCTGAAGCCAAGTGAAAAAGGCATTTCAAGAAGAAGGGCATGAAAAACTGCATCACGTGCTGCTGAAAGATCAAATAAGATGAGGCCAGAGAACTGAGCATTGGATGTAGCAGCATGGAGATCACTGGGTCAGTGGCATGGTAGGGACAGACGCCAGGCTGGAGGGGGTTGAAGAGCGGGTAGTAATGGGGAGGTAGAGGGCAAGCACAGGCAGCTCCGAAGAAAGTTCACTATGAAAGGAGCAGTAAAATGCGCCGGTAATTGGAGAGGGTCAGGAGGTCAGGTATACTTTTTTTAATTGTGGTAAAGTACACATAACACATAATTTACCATCTTAACTCTTTTTAAGTATATAGTTCAGTGGTATTAACTACATTCATAATGTGCACACTATCACCAGCCTCCATCTCCAGAACTCTTTTCATCTTGTAAAACTGAAACTCTGTCCCCATGAAACACTAACTCCTCACTCCCCTCCCCCGCAGCCCCTGGCAAGCACCGTTCCACTTCCTGTCTCTGTGATTTTGACTATTCTAAGTATCTTGTAAAAATGGAATCATACAGTATTTGTCTTTTTGTGTCTGGCTTATTTCACTTAGCAGAGATTCATGCATATTGTAGCATGTGTTAGGATTTGCTTCCTTTTTAAGGCCGAATAATATTCCACTTAAGGATATAGCACATTTTGCTTATCCATTCATCTGTCAATGGATGCCTGGGTTGCTTCCATGTTTTAGCCACTGTGAATAATGCTGCTATGAAACATGGATGTGCACATATCTCTTTGAGACCTTGCTTTCCATTCTTTTAAGTAAAACGCCCAGAAGTAGAATTGCTGTATCATATGGTAATTCTATTTTTAATCTTTTGATGAATTGCCATATTTTTTTCATAGTGGCTGTACCACTTTACGTTCCTGGCAACGGTGCATGAGGTTTCCAGTTTCTCTACGTCCTTGCTAACACTTGTTATTTTCTGGTTTTTTGGTAGTAGCATCCTAATGGGTGTGAGATGATATCTCGTTGTAGTTTTGATTTGCATTTCCCTAATGATTAGCAATGTTGAGCATTTTTTCATGTGCTTGTTGGCCATTTGTTTATTTTCTTTGGAGAAATGTCTATTCAAGTCGTTTGCCCATTTTTTAATCTGGTAGTTTGTTTTTTTGTTGTTGAATTTTAGGAGTTCTCTATAATATCTGGATATTAGTCCCTTATCAGAGATGTGATTTACAAATATTTTCTCCCATCCTGTGGGTTCCTTTTACTCGTTGATATTGTTTTTTGATGTATAAAATTTTAAATTTTTCATAAAGTCCAATTTGTCTCTTTTTCTTTTGTTATTTATGCCTTTTGTGTCATATCCAAGAACTCCTTGCCAAATCTAACATCATGAAGCTTTTGCTCTATGTTTTCTTCTAAGAGATTTGTAGTTTTAGGCCTTACATTTAGGTCTTTGATCCATTTTGAATTAATGTTTATGTATGGTCTTAGATAAGGGTCCAGCTTCATTCTTCGGCATGTGGATGTCCAGTTTTCCTGCACCATTTGTTGAAAGGACTGTCCTTTAGGGGAGGATGCTTTTTAAAGATACGGGTTATTAGCATATGTCTGTGTGTTGATGACAAAGATCTAGTAGAGTGAGAGAAATGGATGATACAGGAAAAAGAGGAAACTACTTGAGGGGCAAGGGCCTTGAAGGTGACAGGAGGTAGGGGTGGGTGTAGAAGCTGGAGGTGGATTTTGAGAGCGGGGCATCTACCCACTGTAAGAGGAAAGGCGTGAGGGCAGAGAGTGGGAGGATGAGGGAGGTTGCTGGAGTTGGTGCTGGGAAAGGGAGGTGTCCCTGTGCCGTTGTGTGGGACAGGCTGAGGAGAGAGGGGAAGGGCGCACAGTTGTCTGGAGAACTGGAAGTCTGTCCTTGGAAGTTGCGCTGAGGCCCAACTTTAGCTCCAGAGGGGTTTGGGCTCCAGGGCCAGGCATGACCCTTGTCTATTTGTTTCCAGTGCCAGAGCTGACTCCCCAGCAGGTCCCGCCGCCGCCACTACCACCACCACCACCGCTGCCACCACCGCCGTCCCTTGTCCCCTTGGAGGCCACTGACAGCATGCTGGAGCTGCCACACCCACTCCTGCAGCAGACTGAGGACCAGTTCCTGTCCCCGACCATGACATGCAGCTCCCCTCTGATCAGCTTCTCCCCGCCCTTGGACCAGGATGACTACCTGTGGGGCCTGGATGGGGGCGAGGGCATCAGCGACCTCTTTGACGCCTACGACCTTGGGGACCTATTGATTAACTGAGTTAATCAACCCCTAGCAGCCCCGCCCCTGTCTCTACCTCCTCAGACAGACTGGCGGGCCCTCTGCCCGCTCAGGGACATTGGACACCAGGTGCTGTCCTCAGGGCATGGGGTCTCCTCTCCTCTCCCGACTCCCTCTTGACAGCAGCTGTCTGGGGGGAGGTGGAAGATACAGTGAGGAGCGTATCAGGGTTCGGGTCCTGTCCTTCCCAAAGGAAGCTGGGCCGGGGAAGGCCCCTCCAGTCTTCTGACCTCTTAGTGAAGGAAGGACGGCAGGTGAGGTGACCAGGTCCAGGAAAAGGTCCTGCTACCTCCTTTTGAGGGGTAATTAGGACCCTTGACTTACCAAGAAGCACTTAATACCTTTGTATTTATTTTAGATTGAGTTTTGTTTGTCCTCCCTGAGTTTTAGCAGGGAGATTGTTCTAGTTTTTACCGAGACTTGTCCTCCGGCCCATGGGCACCTGTCACTGTCGTCATCCCAGGGCCTCCCCCGTCAGCCTGCCTGATGCTAACTATTAATAATTGCACTTAGGACTCCTGATTCGAGTAAGCGGCGGCTGCGGGCCCTCTGCCCTCTCCCCTGCTCTCGGCTGACGTCGCCAGCTGAGGCGCCAGCCTTCTCCCTGGTCTCCTCTGTCCAGAGGTGGTTCCAGGGAACCATCCCAGGGCAGGCGGCTTTGAGGCTCCTGTGGAATTTCTTACCTCTCCCTCGCCTTGGAACGTAAAAGTGATCCTCCAGGCAAGGGCAGAGAGGAGGTCCTGAGGAAACCAGGCGGGAATGTGGAGGGAGCTGCCGCGGCTGCCGCAGCACTTTTCCTCAGAACTTTTGCCTCGCCCTGGCCCAGGGCCCGTTTTACACCGAGGACCTGGAGGCAGAGGCAGCTCCGTCACAGGGAAGGGTGAGATTAAAACCAGAAACTGCCGAGAGCCTCCCCCTGTGGTTGCTGGTATCATTCCCCGCTTCCCTGGGAGGATTTTTTGGCCGTGTTCGTTGAAGGGGATGATGCTTTAAGGACCTCCCCTTGCCCCCCGGCTCTCGCTCAGACCCCAAGGACAGAGGTGACCAGGGCTTGGTGGCATGTTTGCTGCTTGTCACTAGAATGCTGAAGGGGTGACAGCGAGGGGTCTTTGTGGCAGACAGCCCTTGGCAGCTAATGGGGAGATGGGCTCATGCCAGGCCTGGGGTCCTGAGACGGTCTTTCGGCTTCACCCTGTCCCCCCGAGTCCTCAGCATCCCACGTTGTCCCTGCACCCCAGCAGGGGCAGGGATCGGCTCTTCTCCCACCCAGCCTGGGCTGGGGGTGCTCTAGGCTGAACCAACACTGTGCCTTCCGGGGGGAGGCAGCAGAGTGGCGGTCTGAGAGGCCACCCACCCACCCTCAGGGAGCTAGGGTTCTTCAGGGGCTCAGCTGGGTAGCACTTTTTTTTTTAAAGTTTGTAGCATTAAGCTGGCTTTGTTGGGTTGCTCCTGAGCTGACTGGTGTCTGAAGTTTGTGGGGTGGGCTTGTTTGGGGTGGGGCCCAATGTGAGCTAATGCCCATCTGGGGATATCTGCTGACCTTCCTGGGCTCCCAGGTTAGCCCCCTCCCAGGAACAGTCAGCAGGTCACAGCGGCCCCCACTCTATAAACAGGTAGCCCTGTTTTTGTATACTTTGCAGAAATGCCTTTGGTGTCCCCTTCCCAAATAGTCACAGGGGCCTCATTAGAAGCCCATGTTGAAGTCCTGGGACCACCTTGGTCCTTGGGTGGGGCCTGGGGGTTCTGCCTGGGATCTTGCTTGGGCGAGTGGGTCTGGAGACGGCATTGCTGTTCTGAGGTCTCCTCTGGGCTGCCATTTAGCCACGTACCATCTTTGAAGACGGAGATGTTTGACTCCCAAACCTTGGGCTCTGTCTGGAACTTTCTCCTAGAACTAGATTCCAGAAAAGGGAGAAGAGGCCTGCAGGACCCATCGGGGATGAGTTTAACACTGGTGTCTGGCTGGAATTCAAGCGCATTCCTCAAATGCCCATCCACGGGGCTGGACAGAGGGGCTGCCCTCAGGCCCAAGGCCTATGTCCTGAGCAGCCGCCCCCGCCCGCTCCTGTGCTGTCCCTTCCACACCCGGCCTAGCCAAGGGGCTGGCCCTGCCAGGCTAAGCCTCAGGCTTGGTGTGGGAAACAAGCTCGTGCCTCTTGTCAGTGACTATTGAAACTTCCCCAGTTCCATAGAGTGTTTTCAGGATGCCATTTTGGGTAGTATTTCCTTTAGGGGCTGGGTAAGCTTTAAAACTAGAAGACTAGTTTTAATTTTCTGCCAGGAAATTTCCCAGCCCCACCAGCAGCCCCTGATTCACCTGTGTCCCCAGGGACATCAAAAGCTCAGGGGGGTCCAGGGAACCCAGTAGCATTAAGTTGTTCAGTAGAGTTGGAAATTCAGAGATTTCCTAACCCCAGGGACATGTTCCCAAGTCCCCTCCCATTAAAGGTGTTAGAACAGTGGACCAGAGTAATGTCCCTTTTCCATAGTAATGCAGTCGGTCGGGTAGTGTGGCTGAAGGAAAGAAGAGGGACATGGTGAAGCTCATAAAACAGGCTTTAGGATGGTTCTGACTTTGTTTTCCCTCCCCAGTGTTCTCAGCCTCAGTTCTGCACAGTGTTTAGAGTTTTAGTGAAAGATTTGGGTGGGTGCTCTAGCATCTGAGTGCTGTGTGGCTTAGCGTATTTGAAGTGAAAACCTTTTGGGGTTGTTTGGAAGCAGCTTGCTGGTCCTTGTCATGGTATCCTGAGGTCCCTACCTCATCCTGGGACCCCGTTCTCCCATGAGAACCCTCAGTGGCCATGGTGGCCACAAGCTCAGCCAGGCTGCTGGCTCCAGGGTGAGATGAAGGCTTGCATATATGGTACGTTTGTCTGGAGGGTGAGCTGGGCCAGAGGGAACCTGGTCCCTGTGCTGGGACTCTGTATGGGTCATTTTCCTCCGGCCTGGTCTTGCCCTGGTCCTGCCTTGCTGAGCACCATGTAAGCCTCCTTGTGTTGTGATAATTGGGCATTAAACCGTAACTCTAGGTGTCTTTGTTGTGCTTTCTGAAGCTCATTCCCAACTGTAGTTCTGGTCCCCCCAGGCTGAGGGCCAGGGGCTGTCCTGGCCAATGCCAGGAATACATGTTTGCCCAGCTGACTGCCCCCCAGAAACAACCTTCTTTCCCCACACTGGCTAATTACCATGCCTGAAATCTCACCATTAAGGCACTGAAACATTAGCAGCACTCAGATCTAAAAGGTGATCTGCCTCCATCACCTCTCACCTGGACAAAACTCACATGATCATCTTAATAGGTAAAGAAAAAATATTTGAGAAAATTCAACACTCCTTCATGATTAAAAAAAAAAAAAAACCCAAGAAACTAGGAATAGAAAGTAATTTCCTCAACCTGATACAGAGCATCTATGAGAAACCTACCATTAGTGTCCTAGCTAAGGGTGAAATACTGAATGCATCCCCACCCACCGCACCCCAAGATCAGAAACACAACAAGGATGTCCATTCCCTCCATTTCTATTCAACTTTGTACTGGAGGTTCTTGTTGGGACGATTAGGCAAGAAAATGAAAAAAAAAAGGCATTCAGCTCAATAGGAAGAAGTAAAATATCTCTACTTGCAGATAACATGATCTTGTATATAGAAGACCCTAAGGAGTTCATTAAAAATATAAATATTTAAAATAGAGTTCTAATAAAGGGTTGTAGGACACAAGATCAATATACAAAAATCAGTTGTATTTCTATAGACTAGCAATGAACAACCCAAAAAATGAAATTAAGGAAAAATGTCATTTATAATAGCATCAAAAGCAATAAAAGCCAGGCATGGTGGCATGCACCTGTTGTCCCAGCCACTCAGGAAGCTGAGGCAGGAGGATTGCTTGAGTCCAGGAGTTTTGAGTCCAACCTAGGCAACATAGTGAGACCCCATCTCTAAAAATAATAGTAATAAAAAATAGTAAAATAGGAATCCATTTAACAAAAGTGCAGAACTCAAAACTACAAAGTATTGTTGAAAGAAATTAAAGAATATCTAAGTAAATGGAAAGACAGCTCATGTTCATGGATTGCAAGACTTACTATTGTTAAAATGGCAATATTCCCCAAGTTGATTTTACAGATTCAACGTGGTCCTATCAAAATTCCAGCTGGCTTCTTTGCAGAAATCAGCAAGCTGATCTTAAGATTCATGTGGAAATTCAAGGGACTCAGACCAGCCAAAATAATCTCGAAAAAGAAAAAACAAAGAGGACTTCCTGATTTCAAAACTTATAACAAAGCTACCGTAGTCAAGATAAGCATAAGGATAGACATAGATCAATGGGATAGTATTGAGAGTCCAGAAATAAGTCCTCATTCATGGTCAATTGATTTTAGACAAGAGTGCCAAGACAACTCAATTGGGAAAGAATAGTCTCGATAATAAATGGTGCTGGGACAACTGGATGTCCACATGCAAAAGAATGAAATTGGACCCCTAACTCGTACCATACATGAAATTTAACTCGAAATGGATCAAAGACCTAAATATATGAGATAAAACTATAAGACTTTTAGAAAAACAAAGCAAGGCATAAATCTTTGTGACCTTGGATTAGGCAACAGTTTCTTAAATTTGACACCAGAAGCATAGGCAACAAAAGAAAAAAATAGATAAATTGGACTTCATCAAAATTAAAAACTTTTTTTGCAAAAGACATCATCAAGCAAAGTGAAAAGACAACCTACAGAATGGGAGAAAATATTTGCAAATCATATACCAAATTAGAGACTTGTGTCCAGAATATAAAATGAACTCATACAACTCAATGGTAAAAGGAAGCCAGGCATGGTGGCTCCAGTAGTCCCAGCTACTCAGGAGGCTGAGGCGGGAGGATTGCTTGAGCTCAGGAGTTTGAGGCCCCATGAGCTATGATGATGCCACTGCACTCTAGCGTGGGTGACAGAGTGAGACACCATCTCTAAAAAATAAAA